ACAAAGTGTTGCTGAATTTGAGTATTTCATCACTGCAGTCCCACACATTTTTGACTGTATCAGATACTCAGTTTCTTAAAAATGTAAAGGGTAAGAAAAACACCCTCAGCAGAAATAACCAAACTTAATTCTAACAGACTTGGGGGAAGAGATCCTTTTATTTCCCACAGAAAGGCACTGAAGGATAGAAGATGGATAAACAGCACATTCTGGTTCTAAGGAATGACACCCCAAGTGTCTATCCAAAACTGCAAGGCATAGACAACAGAACTGTATTTGTGACCAGCTTGAAAATTCATTTTACTCCAATGCAACATTTTCTAGAAGACTTACACAGACTGAAGTGAAGATATATCCTGAGGCATCAAGGTATAATCAATAGAATTGTATTTGTTACCAGCCTTAAAATTCATTTTACTCCAACGTAACGTTTTCTGGAAGCCTTAAATAGACCTAAATGAAGATATGTCCTGAGAATGTTGGGTATTTTTTTACCATCAGCAACAATAAAGCTTCTATTAGGAAGAAACCCCTCCTGAGTTCAGTATACAAGAAAGTTCAGTCTTGTCTTTATTGGATCTCTAAACCATTGCTTGCCCCCCAGAAACCCTGTTTCTCATTCCTCAAGCACAGCCTATGTTCTTCAAACATATATAAAAATTCATTTAATTTTTCCATTTTCTTCTGGCCTGGTGGGTTCCAGTTACAAGGACTTTAACATGAACATGCCAAAGCAAAGAATGCAGTTGCATGAAAAAGCCTTCTAATAGATTTCTCGTATCTTTGTCTTTCCAACCCAGCAGCACATCCACCTACCGGCCTCACCATCCTCTTGATCTCTCTACACTATCTTTCTTCTGCCTCCTCTGGCTTTTAATTACACAACTGCCATCTTCAGTTTCCTTGACATCTCTACCCCAGATAATGATACCCACCACACTCATACAGGGTACCATCACAGACCCCCAGATCACAGTCTCTGTATCTTTCCCGTTCTGTTGCTGGGCAGCTTTCACATAACTCAGTGAGTAAAGTTTTTGTTTGTTTGGGTTTTACCTTTCTACAGACTTCACAAGTTTTGAGCCCAGCATACTCTCAGTTGTTTCCTATCTGTTTCTTCAACTCTGCATGCTGAAGTATCTTGTGTTTACATTTTGAAAAGAAATGTGAAAAGCAAACATCTGCAATCCCATGAATAAAATAACAAGTTCTTATCTAATGCGTTGCCATATATGAACAGTAGAGTCGTTTCCAGTTGTTGCTTCTATTCCATAGAAAAGCGCAGACTATTGCCATCTTCACATCCCACAGCCCATTGCAAAAGCTTATTTAATTCCAACCAGAGATTAGAAAACCTGCCCCCATGGTTATTCTTCAGAGGCTGTTCCAGAGACTCCCCATCATTGAAGTTGTCTTCTACTTCTGCCTTTAATTTTCTTACAGCAAATTTATTCAATTTTCTTTTGTAAACAGTAAGCTTAAACAGACCATCTTCCACCCTGCTGCTTATCTCCCTCTTCCCCAACACAGTTCAGGCATAAACAGGTTCAAAGAAGGACTAAACCAATTCACAGAGCCATCACTGCCAGCTACTAAACATAGCATCTACTGCTCAGAAAAGCTTTAAGCCATGCAAGAGTAAACCAGAGTCACAGGAGCTCACCACGCACATGTCTCCACCTTGGGCTCCACATCCCCTTAGAAATACTCTACTGGGACAGACCTAGCATGGCTATTTCTACTTTTCTGAAACAGCATCATTCCTGTCCCTCTCCTGTCCCACACTGCCAAGCCTCTCCTTTGAAAGATTAACAAACCCACACTCATCCTCTCTCATATTTTCCCCATTACCGTTGAACTCTCTCCAGTACCCATCTGTGGCGGTGTGCTCCCCCCCTCGTCTCTGACCCCCCCTCCTTTGACCTCTTTCAAGTGATAACCACCTGTGGCCGTGGTGATAGATGCATCTGGTCTGTGTCTGGTCCTGAAGGATGCACCCACTGGGTGTGGGGGGAGACAGATAACAATACAATAGCCAAGGGCTATTGTGCAATGTGCCCACCTAAGCACAGTGGTCAGTATGCAAATATGACTATGAGCCAATCATCTTACCCCCATAAATAGTGAGCAGCCCAAGAGCCCTTTGAGCTCTCCTGCACGGCAGCGGGCTGCATGCCAGGATCTCCCCTTGAGCAGGGACGCCTCTCAAGGTTACTCCTCGAGGTTGAGA